GGACACTTCATTGACACGATATAAACTAAAGAAGTACCGAATCACCCAGTTTTCACATTCGCCCTGTATTTTTGGAATCAAACTAGTGTGGGGGGGGGGGGGCGGGGAGAGGGGAGGGCAACCAATCCATGTATCTCTTTCACATCAATGTTTCTCTCTGTGTCTCTCCCCCTCCCTTCCAATGGAATCAATGGAAAAATATCCCCAGGTGAGGATTAACAAAACAAAAACAACAAAAATTGGAGCTATCAGCTCTTAAACTGTGCTTACATTTTTGGGGGACACCCTGTACATACATTGGAAGATTAAAGAGGTATACTCTCCATTCTTAAAATAACTACTCTTTAAGACTAAGAAAATGTTTGCGGTTCTATCTTTGTAAATTTTTGTAATTTATTCCCTCAATCATCATCCTGAAATATTGTGTACCTAGCCCCGCGGTGTGCTCAGTGGTTGAGCATGGACCCATGCACCAAGATGCTGCTGGTTGGATTACAGGTCACGGCACATGCAGGGGTTGCGGCTCAATCCCCAGTAGAGGGCGTGCGGGAGGCAGCCGATGGAGAGCTCTCAGCTGGATGTTTCAATCTTATTGATGTTCCTCTCTCTCTCCCTTCCTCTCTCTACACGGCAATAAAAACATTAAAAGGTACTGTGTAACTGATTTCGAATAAATGGAACCTAATCAAGAAGAATACTTGGTCTGTACTCTTTCGGCCGGGCTGGGTGGGGAGGTTAAAGGACTATGGCAGCAGGCAGTGGCTACCATCTCAGGTGCAAAGAGGAAGGAGGAATGCGGGGCAACGCAGGGTGGGGGGACGAAGGTGACCGGCTTGCGGACACAGGCCTTGGACTGGGGAGAAGCTGGGGAAGGTTCACGGCGCATCGGCCCGGGTTCCCAAGGCCGAAGGCGGGCCAGCTGCGGCCCGCCCCTTACCCGCGGAGGCCAGCGAGGACCGGGCGGGGCTGCCACTCACTCACCTGGTTGGTGACCTGAAACGGAAGCAGAAAAAACAGTTCAGGGAAGGACCTTTCTCGCACCAGAGGCCCGCCTCCCCGGCTGCCTCTAGCCCAGGCTTACCTTGGCCTTAGCATCCAGGACCGGCTCGTTAGACCCCTCCATGGCAAGCGTCCAGGGCTCTGCACCACCGACTCAGGTGCACGCTCCCCGAGCTACCACCACTTCCGCTTCCTCTTCCCGGCCCGGTGGCCTGGCGCACGCATCGGGCGTGGGGGAGCAGCAAACAAACATATTTGTGGAACTCACCCATATGATCAACGAAATACTAGTTTTAAGGAATCTACCCAGAAAAAAATTAACTACTCTAGGAATATTGTTCCCAGTATGTAGGCTATACCCTGCTATTGGAGAACCTAGAACTTTAGGGTTCCGTCTCCCCCTACTAACGCTGTAAGTGTGGACTCTTCCTATGGGGCGGCACAGCTCCCTCTGCGCAGGCGCAAGCTAGTGGCTTGGGCGAGTAATTGATCCCAATCAAATTGGAAAGCGGTTAGAAAGCCGCACCCCCTTCCCCACCCAAGTTCGTTTTGCGAGGGAGAAGTTGTGGGAACTATAATTAACAAGCAGCTTTCGTCACTCGGGTTTCCTTCCCAGGGCTCGCTGCGGGGCGGGGGGGGGGGGGGGGGGGGGGGGTGCTTTATCCCCGCTGCCATCCTGACCGCAGCAATAGCGCCCCGTCTGGGCATCCCGCTTCCCTCCTACTCATCGCAAATCCACTCTATACCCAAAGAGATTTTTTTCCCCGCCAACTTTTTATTTTGAAAAACTTGATTTTTTTCCAGAAAAGTTGCAAATAGTTCAATACACGTACGTATATGCTCCATAGATTCACCCACTTAACATTTTACACATTTGCTTTAGCCCTAGTTTCATACATAGTAATGATGACATTCTCCCTAAGACCTTGAGCATGTATCTCCCAAGAACAAGGGCAGTCTCCCGAAAAATCACAATCCTCACACTCAGGAAATTTAAAACTGATAAGATATTAATATCTACCACACGGGCCAAATGCAAGTTTCCTCAGTTGTCTCAACAATATTCTGGAAATATTCGTTACCCAGCAACGTAACGAAGGGCCGCCGGGTGCATTTGGATATGGTGTCTCCTTAGTCTCTAACCTAGAACTGCTCTGGTCAAGTGGCAGGACTGCCTGGGCTCCCCCTGGAGGCTCCGGGGGAGAAACCCTTTCAGGTTTGGGCCGAGCTCAGTTTTACGCAGTGCCATTTCCTTACTGGCTTTGGACTGTGTGTGTGTGTTGGGGGTGGGGGGGGGCTGGGATGGGAGGTCCTTCAGCTTCTAGAGGCCCCCTGCATTTGTCTTGTGGCCCCCTTTCTCCATCTTCAAAGCTAGAAATGGCAGGTCAAGTTGTTGTAATGTACCCCGCGAAAAACAGAAGGACACCTCAAGAAGTCGAATTAAAGAGTCATATTTATTGCAAATCCGGGACTATGAGGGGGCATCTTGCTCTCCCAAATCTCATAGTGATAAGATGGCCGAAACACCAGACTTATATAGGCAAAAATCACAAAGGTATTGATTATATCCCAGGGTTTGGAATGAGGACCCTGGTTTGCACAAAGCAGTTACAGAAGCGAGACTGAGCGGATTAGTTATCTCTTTGGACCACTGAGTTGACAGAAACACATTATCTAGAGCCCTTGGGTCTTGGGACCACTGAGTTGACAGGGAAACATTATCTGGAACCCTCAGGTCTTGGGATAATTGTGCTGTCCTGGTTCCCAGGTACAGGGGAATTTGCTTTCTAAAACCAGTAAGATCACAATCAATGGCATAGTCACGTTACAATCAATAAGGCATTCAATCGAATGGGATGATTTATACAATTCAGAAAATCAAAGTAACTTTTCTATTGTTAAACAAAGCAAATAAATACAGAAGCCAAACAGCAGGGTTAGAGTTAAACTATAGTTTCTACCTGAGATGATTGCTACCATACTTCAAAGTCCTCTGCACACATGGAATCCCTCTGACCTCCATTCTGCATCACCTTTCTTTCACCACATCGTTTTGTGTGTGTGTGTGTGTGTGTGTGTGTGTGTGTGTGTGTGTGTGTGTGTTTTAATATCTTTTTATTGATTGCAGAGAAGGGAGAGGGAGAGATAGAAACATCAATGATAAGAGAGAATCATTGATCGGCTGCCTCCTGCACACCCCTCCTGGGGATGTGCCCGCAACCCAGGCATGTGCCCTTGACTGGAACCGAACCTGGGACCCTTCAGTCCGCAATCCGACGCTCTATCCACTGAGCCAAGCCAGCTAGGGCAGCACATTGTTTTTAAGGTCTCAAATGATGACATTGAGTTTACCCAGGTAATCCAGGATAACCTCCCTGTCTTAAAGTCCATAATCTTTTTTTTTCTAAATATATTTTATTGATTTTTTTACAGAGAGGAAGGGAGAGGGATAGCGAGTTAGAAACATTGATGAGAGATACACATCAATTAGCTGCCTCCTGCACACCTCCTACTAGGGATATGCCCGCAACCAAGGTACATGCCCTTGACTGGAATCGAACCCGGGACCCTTCAGTCCCCAGGCCGACGCTCTATCCACTGAACCAAACCGATCAGGTCCATAATCTTAATTTCATCTGCAAAGTCCCTTCAGAGCAGTGCCTAGATTGTCTCTGATTGAATGACCAGGAAGAAGAATCTTGGGGGGAGGAACATCTTTTAAAATTCTGCCTACCACAAACAACCTTCATATAATTGTGGGAGAACTGCATTAGTTAACACATGCAAAGCCCCTAGAACTGTGCCTGCCATAGAGCACTCAAAATCTATGCAAAAAAAAAAAAAAATAGCCAAGGTTTTGGACTCAAGGTTATTGGATCTGATTAAAGTACTAATTAGCTTAGGAACACAGTCTCTGAATGAAAAAAATTATTTCTTTTCTATGGAAGTGTGATGAAAGATAAGACACTGTGGTGCCTCCCTCTGGTCAGTGCATCAGTTTCATTTGTCAGGTAATATTTCTGTAGCCCTTGGCTGCCATCAAATTATGATCCACGGAGGGAACTGTGCTCTATGCGAAGCTGTATGCACACATACACAACTAAACACACACAGGCCACAGGTACACACACACACACATATGTAAATCTTAACTATATAAAAATGCCCCCAAAAGATGAAAAGAAATATATTTAAAAGTTAAATTTTTTTTTTATTTCTCTGTATTTTTCATGCATTGTGAATGTTCCCCCAAGTCCCGCGTGGTTCAAGGTTCGGGATCTGGAGGAAGGGCCATACGCAAATGAAAGAGACGAGACAAGAAATAATAATTTGGAAATATTGGGGGCCAGGCGGGCAAGCCCAATGCAAGAGAAAGGACTTCCCCTGGTGCCCAGGCCTCGCCAACCTTTCATTCAGCTTTGGATACACATCTAGCTCTTAGTCAGGCAGGTAATTGCAGTAACAGACTATCTTAAAGGTCAGTAAATATTAGAAGGATTTACTCTGAGACTATTTGATTAGGAAATAGCTTGAGTCCCTATTGTCTGGACTAGACAATCTGTACATAACTCTGGCCCTTGCCATGGGTTCAAGGTTCACCTGTGTTCCGGATCCTTGTTTGCACTTCTCTGATAGTGAAGACAATGGGTGGCTTCCTGCAATGCATTCCCTTTAAAAGTTTATTTTTTACAAATTTAAATTAGGCATGACTGTCCCTTTCTAAAAATCTATTGATCTAATTTGGGGAGAGTAAAATGTCAGTTGTATGTAGCCCAATCTCTGCTAATTGTTACTCTTATTCTTGTGCTCCTGACACTCTGACAAAACATGTGATCAACTGTTTATTTTTAAGACTTCCATCTTACAAAATATCAGATTTTGTGCAAGTTTAAGACTTATAAATTATAGATTTTATGAATAGAGTCAAGAGAAATGCTAAAATTAAAGATGTGTAAGCATAACTTTTGTTTTATTTATATTTTTATTTTATGACATGTAAGTAGAACATATAAATCAGAAAATTTTTTTAAAAATGTGTTTTATTGCCCTAACCGGTTTGGCTCAGTGGATAGAGAGCTCCCAGGTTCGATTCCGGCCAAGGGCATGTACCTTGGTTGCGGGCACATCCCCAGTAGGAGGTGTGCAGGAGGCAGCTGATCGATGTTTCTCTCTCATCAATATTTCTAACTCTCTATCCCTCTCCTTTCCTCTCTGTGAAAAATCAATAAAATATATTTTAAAAAATATATTTTATTGATTTTTAAAGAGAAGGAAAATGAGAGGGAGAGAGAAACATCCTTTCCCAACATAGGTCAGCCTCCTCCCACACTCACCACACCAGGTATTGAGCCAGCAACCTGGGCATGTGCCCGGACCAGGAATGGAACCGGCCAGCCCCTGGTGCACAGGATGATGCTCAACCAACTGAGCCACACCGGCCTGGGCAATCAGAAAATAGTTTCGAAGCCCAGCTGGTGTGACTCAGTGGTTGAGCATCCACCTATGAACCAGGAGGTCACTGTTTGATTCCAGTCGGGGCACATGCCCAGGTTGCAAGCTCTATCCCTAGTAGGGGGCGTGCAGGAGGTAGCCAATCAATGATTCTCATCATTGATGTTTCTATCTATCTCTCCCTCTCCCTTTCCCTCTGAAATCAATACAAATATAAATATTTGAAAAAAAATAGTTTTGAAGCTCTTATAATAAACCCGGTACTGTCAGAAGTACAGGAGGATGTCCCAAGAACTGTGGCAAAAACTCTGATCTCACAAGAATTACAGTGTAATGGAGAAAATAAAATTGACACACATGAAGCAAGTAATATTTCTATCTAAGCTTGTATTTTTTGGGCTTTCGGGTGCCAAATGATATAAATCCAGTTCAAACTAGCCTGAGCAAAATATCAGAAATTGTTGTCTTCCAGGAGTGGCCTCTGAAATGTAGGGGTGGAGCAAAAGGCCCGACCTCTCTTTCCCAGTTGTGATTTGGCCTCTGTTTGTCTGTTGGCTTCATTCTCAGGCTTCTCCACGTTGTGGGGGAGGGGGGTGTGCCTATGCCTATTTGACCACCAGCATCTCTGGGGTCACAGCCTATGTAGCACATGATCCATGGGGAACGAGGGAGTTGCTCTTCTGTCTCAGTTCTCAGGACTCTGATTTTCCTGCTTGGGTCATATGTTGTCTCCGTGGACCAAGA